GAGACAGTTGGTTTCGGACAAGAATAAGCCTCTCGCCATCCGGTAGGAGCCATGCGTGTGGACCACAGCTGTGGCCAAGGAAGTGCGGAAGACTACTACTACTACATGGCGTTGATGTCATTGTACAAAATCTGCGAAGGGAAGGTGGAGCATTAGTATATGGCGAGAACGCGCTCCTTGGGATCGTATATGACACTTGACTTTCTGGACTTGTGCCTGACCTGGCTCATCTTCAGTGTATTGCGTGGGGTATATTGCATTGCTTGTGCACATGTGCACGTACTCAGCGGCGTTTTGGGGGTTGATCGGAATGGAAGTAGTATAGCGCCTTTCTTATATGAGCGCTGTAACAATGAAGGATGATGAGACCTGGACGGAGTCTACGTGACATGGCCAATTGTGTTGCCTCTGAGCATGTCATGGCTGCCGTGTGTGCGCCTTTGCAGACGTGGAACTGTTTTGCTTATTAATGTTTACATTCTTGTTGTAGGAACGGCGGCATTCACAAGTATTGGCAACACACATAACTAGTTGCAAAAGGCAGGCATGTCAGTCAACCCAGGAAAGCCATGGTATCACCGATTAAATATTATCCTATTCATCCAACTACACGCTCGACCACCAGCAATTGTACTACCCCATCTACAACAGACCAGCAAACATGGCAACAATGGCGGCACCAGCAGGTACACCGAAGCTGCTACCCGCACCAGCGAAGCTGCTACCCGCACCAGCGAAGCTGGTGGGAGTTGAGCTAGCCTCAGACTCGGAGCCGGTACCAGTAGCACTGGTCATGGCGCTCGTAGCACTGGCAACGGCACGAGACTGTGTAGCAGCGACGCTGGCAACAGAGGCCATGGACGAGGAAGCAGCGGCGCGGAGGGGCTCGGCGGCACCGCAGTAAGATGTTACGGTGTTCTGGACAGGAGGCTTCTCAAGGGAGTCTACAGATGTTTTGTTAACTTGTACTCATCTTGTTTGTATGCATGGAACACTTACCAGGGCAGTTGTTGTAGCAGACGAGAACATCTCTGTAGACGTCGCAGAGACAGATGAAGTCGTTGGGGTTCTCGTTGCAGGCGTCGATGCGGGATTGGTAACCTTCGACGCAAGTGTCTACAATATTTTGGGCATCGCACTTGTCCTGGGCAGCGACGAAGCTAGCAGAGGCTGAGATGGCGACGGCGATGGCGGTGATGAAACGCATCTTGATACGAATGTTCGGATGGTAAAGTGGTGTAGTTTTACGACGTTGTATTACAAAGTATTAAGGTATAAAGAAGCTACCCAAAGCGAATGATGGGTACTGTTGTTCGTATAGCGACCGAGAAAGGTAGGATAGATGACGGGAGATACGAGGAACGTAGGGAAGAGAAGAAGAGGAGACACGAGAGGGAGTCTAGGGTAGATTTAAACTTCGCAGGTGGCTTGGGAAACCCCATCCCTAATCCCATCTTGTCAAACACAAAACTAAAACTAATAACCTTTAAGCCTCCTTTCCCCGGAAGACTGCAGAGTCAAGAAGAAGCAGTGTCAGTGCTTCCCTGCGCCCATCCGTCTCTTGAGTCGAACTAAGCAGGACGGAGCCTAGTGCATGCCAGCCTCGGAAGATAATCGCGGACAAGAGCTGGTCTAGCGTGTCTCCTCCTAAAATTAGTGATTTCGATGCACCAGGAGTCGTATTCCCGCCTCCTCCGATCCACTATAGTTTGTTTGCCGCTGGGTAGGTGGGACTCAGCTGAGCTGGCAGTGGTGCTTGCAAGCTGCTGTGGGCAGATGGTTCGGTGGTGCAGGCGTGAAGGGGGGGGGGGAAGGTCGACAATCACGGTTCACACAACGGCAAGGGCTCGCCGAGAAGTCATGGCTTGCAATGCGCATTTCGCTTGTAGAAACAGCCCGAGTCAGGATGCTAATTGGTGGGAGTGCATGATGTACGCCAGGGTGCTGGTCACTTCGCGAAGCACTTGAGGCGCGACGGGACCACGCGCCGTTGCAAAGGGGAAAGACGCCAAGGAAGGCTATAATACGGCGGCACTGCGCCCCTTCCTCTTTCTGCAGCTATGCAACTCTTCGGAACTTTGCGAGATCTTAACAGGGCAACGTATATATCGTATCCCCACATCTCCTGACCCTGCTACATATGTAGTGATATAGCTCGGCTTCTGCCGAGACGTTCGCGGTTGTCGTTACAACTCATTTATACCGGGCATCAATGAGCAGATATTCGATAATCAATAGACATTTCTTCGTCACAAGGGTCGATCGACAAGCACGGGCGTTTGCTCCCCAAATCTCGTTATCGAAGGGTCTGAGGTCCGTGGTTAGCGCATGTAAATGAGATTGGAAATTAGGTGAACCCGTGGGCCCGTTGTGATTATGTGTATACCTTTCTGTAACAGCTCCCCAGCCTTCCTACCCTGGAGAAACAACCTCGAAGATTGTATTCTTGTGCATCACGTGCTATCAGGATACGAGAGGGAACGACAGCGAACTTATCGTATGTAAAGGATATATGTATAGTTGCTAACCAAAGCAATCTGTGTGTATGCAGAAACAGCCGACAGCCATGCTCCTCGCTTTTACTCAGTACCAAAACAAAAGGAAAAGATGAACCACCCTGGGAAATCAAACGCCATATTCATGCACATACGACTCTACCGCCTCTTCTGCAAACACATTTATTCCTCATCGATAACACGACCCCACTCATGTCCCTCCATACCGTCGCTACCCCACATGATGCCCTTGAGAGAGTTCTTGAAGAAGCTCGCGTACGCGCCAGAGTCACCCTTGACCATTGGCACCTCAATGTCCTTGCCACGGAAGTGAATCTGGCTGATAGGAGCGACGAACCACGCAGTACCAGCCGCGAATGCCTCAACAAGGCGTCCTTCTTTGGCCGCTTCTTCAATCTCGAAGACGTTGAACTTGCGCTCAATAACCTCTAGAGTCTCGAGATCGGGTGAAGGAGAAGAAGAAGTGAGCCTTGAACGGGCGAGTTCGAGAATAGACCTCCTCGTTACACCATCAAGGACAATACGTTCGTTGAGATCAGCGGTAACAAGTTGTAGCTTTCCATCCTTGGACTTCCACACAACAAAGAAGTTGCTGGCTCCCGCCTCGGTGATCGTGCAATCTTCACCAAACAGCCAGAGAATCTGGTGGTATCCCCTCTTTCTCGCCTCGCCTTGGGCTACTAGAGAAGGACCATAGTTGGCACCGACTTTAGCGTATCCGAAACCACCGGGCCACGCGCGGCACATATCGTCTTGAGAAGCGAGCAGCTTAATACCACCGCTCATGTCTCCCATGGGAGCAAAGCAACATAGAATGACGAAGAGAAGGGCCTCTTTCGGTCGCTCGACGCCAAGGGCGGGATCGGAAGCGATCATGGTAGGACGGATGTAAAGGAACTGTCCTGGACGGTCCTTTGGAAGCCACTTGGCACCATCTGTTGCGCAAAGCTTGACAATAAGCTTGAGGAGTTCCTCGGGATCAAACGCGGGCAGGGCGATACGGTTTGTGGACATGAGCATACGGCGACAGTTCAGGTCTGGGCGGAAGAGACGTAGTTTGCCGTCGTATCCACGGTACAACTTCATTCCTTCGAAACATTCAGTCGCGTAGTGCAGGCACGAGGCCGTGGGTGCAAGGGACAGCGGGCCGTAGGGCTTCAGCTCTGGTGCTGCCCAGCCGGTCTCAACATTCCATTGAGCTTGCACCATGTGGTCGGTGCAGACCTTCTGGCTAGCCATCTCTGCTGAACCTACAGCTGGGACAGAGCGAGGGGTGCTGGTGTATGTGCAGGTGACTTTGGAAGCATCAAGTTCAGCCAGAGGTGCGTCAACAACATCTTGAGTTTTGCTTGCTGGCTCGTTTGGTGGTGTGGCGGTGATGGGGGTTGTGAGAGATGCAGAGTTGATCTGTTCTGGGGCATTCTTGAGGAGCGCAGATTTGATGCCGGCTTGTGTGAGGTCGGTGACCGTCTCGTTGTGATTCGGGGGTGTGACGGCGCTGGGTGCCATTGTTGCTATATATGAGGACGTGTGGTTGCTAAGCTGTCAATTGAAGTAGCGATAGTCGAGGACAGAAAATATGGTTGCTTCGGTGTGGTAAGAGAAGTGAGTAGTCCAATGCGCAATGAGAAGACACGTACCCTGACGCGCTCTTATACCATGGATCTGAAAAAATTCGATCAAGAGTCACACGCCTTCCTATCACACGGGCGGGAGCAAACCCACTTACCCTAACGATCCATCGATGTAATGTTTGCCCAGCCCCCTGCGGACTACGGCGGGAGTCTAGTGTCATTCCTTACAGAACGCAAAGATAAAGGGGTCCACTTGCAGCCGGGGTGGACGCTCGGGGTACCCATCTTGAGCAAAGCTTGCTCACGATTGCCTTCTCTCAATGCCACCAAATTGTTCTCATCCTCTCTTTCTCTGATATGACACGAATAAGTCGCCATCGTCAAGACCATGACAAAAGACGCGTCTTCCAGAAGCCGTCGAAGCCGGGGTTGTGTCTACTAGCGTACCTGAGGACCAAGAATGAGCAGGCGGGCGTAGGGCGTGTGTGCCGAGCCTGCGGTATCCTCGTACCTACCGCTAGTATCCGCGACCAGTTCGCGCTTCCGATCCCCGGACATGGAGATGGGGGAGAATGTATGACACGGCAATATATCATCGAATCTGGTACAACCCTGGAGCAATACGAGTAATAATACGCAGTCTGCGATGTCGGAGGTGTATATGCAGACAGTGAAGTTGTGGTCCTTGTGGGAGATGGCAAAGTATCTCGGTAATCAGCGGTATAAGCAATGGAGAACTTCACCGCAGGGGAAAAAAATGCTCAAGTGACCTGCTCAAAACAGGGTATCATATTCTAAGACGGCCGGACCGGTTGCAGTCTTCTGAGGGGCGCTCTACGCCGAGGCTCCATCGCGATGCATGCACGTATCTCTATGTAGATTTCCTCCTCTAACCGTCGCAAAGTGAACTCTACGATGCCGGGGATGACGATGTCTCGCTGACATGACTCGCCGCCAGCATTTGACTTGCCCTCAAGCTATCAATACCCTTCATGATTCCATCTGCAACCTCGCCAACCCGTCCTTCAAGCGTACTAAAGTCCATTCTGCTGATAGCAGCATTGATTTGTTCCATGACGAGTTCATCCTGCACCACCTCAGCTGTAACCTGGCCCTCGGTCCTCCAGTATTCTTCCCGCACACCTCGCAACGCTGAATCGCGGTTCACAGAGTTTGTGAGCAGAGCTAGCGCACGCATCTTATTGAATGTATCTTCGGCGGTTCGTGTAGTTGTTTCGATGCGCTCGGCGATGGAAACAGGCTTGGCGAGCCAGCGGTTCGTGCTTGTAGCCCAGAGGACGAAGGCAAAGCCCATGTCTACCATGGCGAAGGCGACGTATCGTAGGAATCGGACACGCCAGTGTGCTGAATCGATATCCTGCACATACTTTGCTCGCTTGTTGAGCGTGATGTCGTAGGTGGCCATGTACCACACTTCCACCACCATCAAGAGCAATCCTGCAATGGTGGCATGCGTGCGAAACCGCGAACCCTCGCTTCCTACAAGCGACGACGTCGCGAGACCAAGAACAGCGAGTTGGAAGATATGCGGCGTGACCATGGTTGGAAGCGAATACAAAAAGTAGTTTTGCTGGTCATTTCCATCGGATGTGGTACACCACACGCAGTTCAACAGGGTGTCGGGGCCATATGTCAGGTACAGCAGTTTGTTGCGCACGCTCCAGTTGAACTTTGTCCGTAACGCATCATCCTCATCCGTGAGCGGTCGAAGGTGGCGTAGACGCGCAAACAAGACACTGGTCTCTGTTCGGATGTGACTTTGTGTCTTGAGGAATATGTTCTCAGGTGCAAACCGAGAGAAGGAGAGGACGAGGCATACGACTGCGCTCACGAAGAGCAAGTTTAACGCATATTGAACTCTCGGAGGCGTCGGTCGTACTGGCACGCTTCTTCCGGTCGCGCGCGCGAGGTTGATCCAGTCGAGTACGCGGGGTATGAGGAAGGGTCCGAAGATGATGAGGATCGAGTGGACATTCTGCGGGAGAAACGTCAGGCGCGGGATGACGACGTAGGATATTACAAGTAGGACAATTGAGCGCAGGTTGAACATTGTACAAGTCGGATGATCATGAGGAAGTCGGCGAGGGCTATGGTGTCGCTGAGGACATGTGTCCTCGCATATGGCCAAAGTCGAGGTGACGTGTGAGCGTCGGCGGCACTGAAGCGCGATCACACGTGAGCCCGTGCTAGTACACCAATTTCCGTTCACTTTCAGTACGTCAGCCTCAGCACTCAGCCAAGTTCGACTGCTTTACCTGCAATATATGCGTCTTCGCGCGCAACACATTTGCAGCGGAGTATGCCCTTGTCCTGCTTGTGCCAAAACCTTGAGGGGAAATCACAAGCTCACAGCATTCGAGGCCACTACCTTGTCATTGTAACCTTTGGGAACCATAAAAGTATGAGTTCTTACGAACACTAAGCATGCTAATGGGATGTTTGGATTAAGACTCCATTCATCTGATCTGGAAGCAAGATACTACAAGCGAATTACAACAACTCCGTTAGAACACCCAAAAGGCACCATATTCATGGACCCAAGTCTGCTGATATCTACTTCCGCACGCTCCTAGACAGGCGATCGCCAGATCTCACATATGCCCTTCTGTTACAAACCTCTCCTGTATGGATCGCTTGTTGTATCTCCCCGAGATTCATGCTGTGGTGCCTGCGCATAAAAACGTGCCGGCGTACTTGTAGTGCTGATGTGGTTGGCACGTCCATCGCTGCTGTATTGCGTCCCTACCGGACTCCCTCCGTTGCCAGAAGGCGAATGTGGTGATTGTCGCGAGCTCGTCGATGGACTATTGGGTCGTGGATAGTAGATTGGAACTTGCTGTTGAATAACATCGTTTGGAGATTGTCGTGGCGAAGTCGGCGTAGGGTACGAATATTGAGTGTCCTGACCTTGCGCAGACTGCGGATAGTTTACTTGAGTACTCCAAGCAGCTGTCGGCGAGTTACGAGCAACATTACCGTCGCTGGAGATTTGCTCGCCATGTGGCGAGTGATTCGCGTGCCCACCCTCAACGGGAGATATGTATGGGGAATCGTGACCGTACGAAGGAGGACCTTGAGCCGAATACGGTGAGTTGTAGTCGTGGCTAACGGAGTATGATTGTTGTTGGACATGTCCGGGATAACCAAGGGCGATAGAATCTGCCTGGTCATGTATGGAAACGTACTTGCTAGCAGCTGTGTCGGCCATCTCTTGAGGCACGGTAGTCGCAAGCTCAGCAGGTGGAAGATCGAGTGGAACTTCACCCTCCTTCGTCTTCGATGCCTTCTTCCGCCGATGCAGGCAGAATAGTATAAAGCATAGGATGCCTATGAGTACCAAAAGCCCTCCGACTGTACCACCAGCAATAGCTCCCACCTTCGTCTTCTTTGAGCTTCTGGGGGATGGGGATTCTGTTGCCGAAAGTAGAGCACGAGTAGCTGATCTTGCAGTAAAAGTAGGTTTAAGTGTATAGTAGGTAGCAAGATCAGGGTGGCCCCACGTTGCTGGGGAAGTCTTCGTGGCACCTCCGGTAGGTCTATTCTTGTTAGTCGTGTTAACCTCTGTTTACAGACGAAAAATACTTACCCTCCCCCAATCACGGAGATGATAGGCGAAGGAACAACGTAGTCGTCTAGCTGAGGGCTGAACTTGTCCCAAAGTTTTGAGTCCCCACCGTTGTACCCAAGAACCATGTTGTGTTGTCCTTGACCTTCTGGTACATCGCATTTGTCGTATATAGGGAACCAGCCACCTATGACCAACATCTGCGCGCGATTGACTTAAAGATTGGTTTACGAAGTTAGTATGTATTTCATATACAGTTCGTACATCGATATCACCTACCCACATTCGCACTACAACCGCCATGACCAATTTTAGATGGATTCTCACTACTGAAGACCTTAATCCAGGTAAAGGACGGAAGAGAAAGGATGTAGACGTCGTCGAAAGCCGGTGCTTCACCGAACCCGTACCCGCCGTAAAGATAGCTACTCCAAATAAGCATATTTACTCCAAGGCGACAAAATGTGTATACGAAGCTTGTATATGGCACTGAGATATTAGCAACAAACTGCGACTTCTCACAGTCTTTTCGAGACCCTAGATAGCACGGGCAAAAACCTTGGAACTCCGTTGATCCTCTTTCGTATCAACGACCTCTAGCCCCTGTGGATGTTTCCAGCTTACCGATGGCGTCGACCAAAGCAACAGCAGGAATATGACTTTTACAAGACAAGAATCCAGTAACTTACACATTGAAAGATGACTCGTCATCCGGCCAAGTGACATCAGCACAGAACTGTCTGCGGGTGTCAGGTATATCGCCAGATGCGGTCTGTGTATACCATTTCGACGAAGCCATATCGTAGACGTGAATAGTCTATAACGTCAGCTATGTAGAAGCTGGATATCTCTTCGATAGCTTACACTCATGTTTGCCTGATACACTACGTTAGTATGTTCGGTCATGTATGGCTTGGTCTGAACCTACTGCATCAAAGCTGCCGTTATGATACGAGTCTTCGATACCACCGAAATAGATAAGCACACCGCTGTCTGAAACGGGTAGGAACAAAAGTTGTCCTTCGGCTCTCCCAATATCATCTGGTCCGGTTATATTCTGTAGGTCACCTGTAGACATGTCGAATTGAATCAGCCCGTTGGTGGCCATGGGAGGCCCATTCCAACCGGGCGCTGTTCTGTTGCTTAGCCATCCGCCGAAATAGAATCCTAATCCGCGGCTTTCGACTTGCGTCCCGGCTCCAAACGATACTCGTTGTAGCTCCTTGTCGCCAGTCGTCTCGGTAGTGTTCCATTGATTGAGCAGGATATCGTAGGTCCAAATACCAAAGTCCATAGGGCTAGCACCGGCGGCGTATTCTCCGCCAAACTGATAGAAGCATTTGTTCGTATTGTCCGCCCATGTATAACCGCCGGAGAGGCTGGGAACATGTCCAGGCTTCGAGTACGCCTTCTGTTCCGGCATCCCTGCATCGACCGTCGATGAGTTCAAGTTACTAGACAAAAGCCATGTATCTAGATAGCAGTCGTTAGATTATATGAAGAGGGGTAGATGATGTTTTGTCAAGCTCTACATACTGGAATGGTTCGACGTGAAAGGGACTTCTCCTACCATGCCACCATCAATGTACAGCATCGAGTCAACCCGTGCCGTTGCATGACCCCATCTTCGGCAGAATCCTTTCACAGGATCGTCCTGCTGTGCTAAAGACTGAGTAGCAAGACTAAGCAGAACAAGGGCATCTCGTAGAATGTAGGCCATGATATGCATGCATGACGCTCCTGAACAGGCACACGTGAGATATGGGAAAGGCGCGAAAGCTGTTCAAGGTAAGGACAACTGTAGGATGCAGCAGGAAGGAGGGGCGGGCCGCAGACGTTGGAGTGGATATGTACAGGGCTGAGGATGACCTCGACAGAAGGACCGGATTGTAGGCGGAAAGTCTGAGGTTGTCGTTTGTGGCGCACCTCGTTGAGTTGATGCACTCCGGTTCACCGATCTGACTGCGTCGTAATATTGCTAGGCGACCGTCTTCTCAGCCATGTCGTGAGTTGTGGGACGCCTGTCTCCAATGAAATCACAGCACACGAAATACGAGTGATCTACAGGCCCGACAGAGGCGTTTGACCAAGCAGGATATAGGCCTAGTTTGAAGTCTGCGAGAACACGGCGCCGACCTGCCAAGGGTGGCCTGCTGCGACGAACATTGGACGTGGCTTGAGACAGATCGAATGAGACGAACAGGTGAAGAAGATACTATCGCTACGACCAGTAGTAGCGAGGTGGTCAGACTGAATCGGAAGCTGCTATTCAGCCGCTGCTCAGCCGCTCTCGGGTCCTTCGATCCAGAGCTATGTTTCTTGCTTCGTGTGGAGTGACACACGGCGGAAGATGCGGGGAGGTCTTTCAGCTGGGCGCTCAACGTTATTTGTGGCCATTGACCTTAACAGTCTAGATCCGCACAACGACAGGCCTCAATAGCATGCCAATCACGATGAACACTGTGTTTCTTTTCTCGCTTTACGCAGTACTATGCATGATGCGGGTGTCGGGATTTGGGGGCCGATTTGGATGCCGGTGACGACTCAACGCATGTAGCAACCAACACCACGCGTAACAGCTGTCAGGGCATCATATTCGTCCCAAGATACACGTCTCTTCTTCACGGTGATATTGAAATCAAGGTCACGAGGCCCCTTTGTTCAGATAGGCACCGAAGTATGTTGGCCTAAAGCGAACCCGCAGCTCCAATACCGACCGAAGTCGACGTGGACGAGCTGCAGGATTAGAATGGCAATTCTGTTTCTCTGGGTCTGCTCTGGAAAAGGCGAATCCACTTCGTAAAGGAAGGACCTTAGGGTTATTGGAGACCGTTGACAATATGTGAAGAAAAGAAGAGCAGAAGCTTCGCGGAGAAAATTGAGTGACACGGATGGCTTTCTTGGCGCGCTAGCGGTTAGCTCATCCCTCTCAATGGCCCCTGCCCACACGTCATGAACCATGTGCAACATCACGACATTTGTACAATACGTATTGAAAACATGTCTCATGCTACATCCGGAATTATATTACCGCTTAATAGTTGGCATTCCCCTGATACGGCATTCCATATCCTGGCTATGCTAACTAAGCTTCATCCCCTTTCGGCGAAGCCGACTTGTCAACCACAGGATGAGCCATGCAACCCCACAGATAGTTTTTGGTGGTATCCGTTAAGCACATGACAACACCCTACACTTACAAGGTCCTTTGGTATCAAAATGACTCAAGATACCTGTTTCCATTAGTTTCCAGCTTATCTTGAACGCAACCAACCAACAACAATATAGATCTCGCACTCAGTCGAACCAGAGAGAAGCTAGAAACAACCCGATGGAATTTGAGTTTCTCGACTGAAAGTCGTAGGAATATCTGAGGAATAATACCTAGTTATAATGAGGCAGCGCCTGATTGACACTATGATTCGCGCTTTGCCAGCATCCTCGATTCTTGTCCCGGACCCTGCCTTACGCAACAGTCTCTATCT